TGAAATATTTCTGGACTTTCTCAACTGTGCTAATATCAGATATGTAATGTGGGTTCCAGACCGATGAGCTGTATTCGAGTCTTGGTCTAGCAAATGTTTTGTATGCTCTAGTTAGTAGTGTGATATCACCAGAGAAAAAGCTATGTAGGATTAGGTTAACAACTCTTAATGCCTTTTTGGCTATGTAGTTACAATGGGCTCTAGCACTTAGATCATTAGAGATGAGTATTCCAAGGTCCTTTACAGAGCTTGGATCATCAACAAGATCTTGACTATTCAGTTTGTATTTTATTTTCTGATTTTTTTTGCCAATATGTAAGACAGAGCATTTATTTGTTGAGATTTGAAGTTGCCATTTGTTTGACCATTCTGATACATAGTCAAGATCTTTTTGAAGGGTAGCAGTATTGTCTGTGGTATTGAACAGCTTTACATCATCAGCAAAAAGAATGCAGTTGCTCTTAATATGATCACAGAGGTCATTTATGTAGAGTATGAAGAGAGTTGGTCCTAGAACACTGCCTTGGGGGACACCACTATTGACAGGTGCAGAATTTGATAGGACACTCCCAATTTTGACCATTTGTTGTCTGTTTGACAGGAATGCTTCTATCCAGTTATGCAGTTGTCCAGAGATACCATAAGATTTTAGTTTTAGGAGTAGTTTGTCGTGTACCACTGAATCAAAGGCTTTACAGAAGTCTATGTAGATTACGTCTATTGCTTTGCCCTGATCGAGTTGTGTAGTCCATATGTTTTTGCAGTGTAAGAGTTGCAGATTACAGGATAGTTTTTTCCTGAAACCAAATTGTTTATTGGAGAGTAGGTTGTTTGTCTCTAAGTGGAGGATAATGGATTGATTAATAATTGATTCCATGACTTTACAGGTGACGCAGCATAAGGAGATTGGTCTGTAATTTTCAACTAGGCTGGGGTCTCCCTTTTTGAAGATGGGGATGACCGTGGCTTGTGACCATAGGTTAGGCAAGGAGCTGGTCCTGAAAGATTTTTCAAAGATTATGCTTAGAGGTTCAGCTATGGTAGTGGATAGCTTTTTTTAAGAAGTAGGCACATATTCCATCCGGTCCAATAGATAGAGATGGTTTTAGATTGCATAGTGCTTTTTCAACATTGTCTTCTGTAAAATCAATATGTATTAGATCATTGTAGTTGTCTGTGGTTCGGCTAGGAAATACTGGGCATGATCCATTGCTGTTTACAAATACTGAGCCGAAGAATGTGTTAAAGATGTTGGCTTTAATGGTGTCGTCATTGCAGTCTTTACCATTAGGTCCTATCAGGGGTGGGATGGACCTTTAGTCTTTTAGTTTGTTGTTCACAAAATTGTAAAAAGCGTGGGTGGAATTGGTACATAGAAGGTTTTCCTCTTGTTTAATGTGATAATTGGTGCATTCAGTCTTTATCTGGTGGCATAAATTTTTGTATCGGCTTTTGAAATTGGCAACGTGACCAGATTTGTTTTTCCGCCAGAGTGATCTCTTTTTGGATTGAAGTTTCCTTATTGTTATGGGTAATCTGGTTTTTTTTTTGGGGGGGAGTGGTTCTTGGAGTTGTTCTTGGGAGTTGTTGTTGGTTCTTTGGTCTTAAACCCATTAAGTCTGTTTGCTGGAATAACTTTGCTTTTCTCTTGGCTACAAGCATTACAGTTTAAATACTTGCTACAGGGTTTCAATTTTACTCCCTCTGACAATTCAACAGTTTGTTTGAGCATTTTGAAATCAATGTGCCCCAGACGTCTATGTAGTAAATGTATACATTCATCATGTGGCTTAACATTGTTATAAACTGAGTTAGCCACCTTCAACTGGTCATCATGTATCACATATAAATCATTCTCTAAAGTAGCAGTAACACTTTTACCCTCTTTCTCTATTATACAGTTATCTCCCCTAAAGGTTACTACATAACCAACATTAACTAAAGCCCTTACTGATAATAAATTAAATTTCAGTTTAGGTACATATAACATAGTTAAATGTTCGTTTATACAAAAACAATATGCAGTACCTTCACCTGACGCGTTAATCTTCCATCCATTTGCCAATGATACATGTTGTTTATTCATGGACATCTTTACAAATCTTTTTCTATCTTTAGTAATGCATTGCGATGCTCCACTATCAACAACCCACAAATCATTGTTTACAGTTGAATTGCTAGACATAGCTAAACTAACATTCTTCTTGGCTTTCTGGTGTTTACTAGTATTCTGTTGTTTTCCCTTCTTACAGAATCTAACTATATGTCCCCTAGCCCCACAAGAAAAACATTTCCTAACATTATAGGCAGTTGAAGATAAATCCTCTTCTTGTGGTTGTTCCTTCCTCAGTTGGTCCCTATCCAGCCGTCTTCTTGCTTCTTCCAGCAATCTTCCAGTTATGTCAGTCAATGTCAGTTTATCTCTGGGCAGGACTTCCAGTGAAGATACGTCATCATCATAACTTTCATCCAATGAGGAAAGAATGATGTAAACTTGATGCAGCTCTGAAAATATCAGTTCCTTTTCATGTAGCTCTTGAAAAGTTCTTTTCATGAAGTTCAAATGAGCTAACATATCTCCACCTTTCAGAATAGGTGCTCTAAACAGTTTACGTTTAAGGTGTACGTGTGCACCTACACTGTCACAAACATAAATCCTCTTCAAATTCTCCCAACACTTAGCAGCAGACTCTTCTCCACGAATATGGACTAGCTGCTGGTCACTCAGTGTTAGTCCAATTATACAAAGAGCTCATTTGTTCTGTTTAAAGTCAGCAAGCTTCTTGGCATCATCCTCATTAGCTGGATCCCAAACATTTACATCTGGTGGGTCTTGAACTACATTCCATAAACCTTCTCTATGCAGAAGTAGACTGTACTTCATAGACCAGGAAACATAGTTTGTTCCATCCAACCGGGTTATCAGTGATAGACTTGTTGAAGTGACTTGTGCCATCTTTACCAGGATAGTAAACCACAGTTAAACAGTAAACAGCTGTCTGTATACAGTACTGTGTATTCACACCAACTCTCAGTTATCTGAGCCTGGTATGGCCTGGGCCCATAACCAGTGTTGAGGTAATTCCCCATTAGGAGAATGAGCGCATACAGAGAGACGTATTGAGAGTAGTGTTTGAATAATACACACACAGCACACAGATACACTGTACAGTAAATGTATGTTTTTACTTCCAGAAAGGTTTAAGCAAATTTCAAAATAAGCAGTCCAAAGTCATTCACAGGTAAGTCAGTCAGTTTTCAATACAGGAATAATCCAATAACAAAGTCCAGTGTCAAAAACAGTTCAATATCAGACTTACATCAAATCCATGAATATCAGTCAATTAGGAAAAATGGAGGAACGGCAATACTCTCCAACAGAAGGAAACAAAGAGACTCACTCAGACATACTCTCTTTTGAGACTAAGACTAAGACAACCCAGGTTTCTGGCTCCATCTTATGGCCGTTTGAGAAACCACACCCAATTACAGTTTTGCATTTTCTTAAAGATACAGTATTAAAATGTCTATCCTGGTTTATATATTTTCAACCCAAATAGCTGTTAGGTGACATATTCCTAACAGACATATCAGTAGCAAATGTACTAACTACCAGTAAAATATTGGCACATGTAATTAATGGAATGGAAAACAAAAAGATATTGAAGAAAACCCACACACGTTTGTTTCTGTAATAAATAATTCAAATCTTGAAAGTATAATTATTTTAAAATTATAACACCAACCACCTACATCAATAGGAAAAAAATAGGTATGTTTTTTGAAGCTGTTAAAATAGAAAATTGTCATGTTTGCATTGTTTCAGATCATTTAGCTGTATTTTTATTTGTTCAAAGTAGAAACACTATTTTCCTATTATAAGATTAATGGCCCCATCTTTATAAATACTTTCTAGAAAATTACATTAGGTAACAAAAAGACCCTTTATAATGCAAATAATCAGAATCCTTATGAACAATATTGCTTTATCATTCCGTCTATCATAAATACTATAGTAGTATTCTCAAGAAGAAAAGGTTATTTTGTTGAAGATGCTTCTGATAAAATTACATTTTTGTTGATCTGGTCCTCTTATCCATTTTAAATTAATTTATTAAACAAAACTATTACAGAATATTCTTATTTTTGAGCCACTCAGGATGAATCAGCATTTTAACGCTACAGGAAAAGCATTATACATTTTTATACATTTACGAAACAACAAGGGATTCAGCATGCTGGAAATTTGTAATTCACAGTGTGATTGTCATATGTCAGGAAGTTTACACCCTTGCCTGGCAAATACATTTTTTGGTAAATTTAATGCTACTCAGATTTTGTAGAAAAATTCAGGAAAAATTATTTCATAAGCATAGGATGCAAGATTCCACACCTTAATTTTTTTTAGGGATAGGTCTTCTGAGGACTTTAGAACTAAAAGCCTGACAAAGAAATGTTTGCTCTGTCAATGAAATTGTGGGACAGTCACATAAATGTTAGTAATTTGATTAAAAGAAAAGTATATAACAGCTTTATAGCAAATGAAACCAAGAACTAATGAGTTCTCATTATCCCATATATTTGATATTAATTTGGAAAGTGGAGGATTCTTAACTTTCTTTGATAACAGCAGCTGATTACATTTGCCATTTCCTGGAAGTTCTCATTTTATTTTCAGGAATGCTATACCTATTTTGTGTCGTTTCAGGTATTGTATGGAAAAACAAAAACAGCTTTCTCTATGTATCCATACAGTACATACATATTAGTGATCACTGCTGATAACAGTGATATAAAATAAAAGGTGGCTGCCATCTGCTGGCCACCAAGTCCAAATACGGGGGGTGGGTGGGTGGGGAACCACATCAAAAGACATAAAATGTGAACAATTTAAATAAATTTACTGAAAACAAATATAGAACAAAATGCAATTTAAATTAAATATTAAATGAAAATTTATGGAATAACAAAACAAAGATTTTCTCAGGCATCTCTAATAGCCTATTTTAAGGCAGCCTCTTATCTTTATTCAAATCTTGTGATCAGATTTTTTACTAAAAAAAAATAAATCCACACTTTTCAAAATGTTTAATTAGGAAAAATACTCATCTAATCAGAAACACTTCCAGAAGAACCAGCTGACTTTTTTTTCCTTCTTCGTAGCTGTAATTGCAGCTGAAGCTTGTTAGTGAAGAAAAACTGCTTCCACCCAATTTCTTGTGCCAGGGACTTCATTTCTGGAGTGATGGTGCCCAATAAGTCTTGCACAATCACTTCCCATAGTTTGTCAGAGTTGCATAACTATTTATAAAACAAATAAAAAGTGTGAGCAGATAAAAATAGATTTATTAAAAGCAAATAAATATTAGGATCTGATTCCACTGGGCTATTTCAGTTCCAGCATTTGCATGTTTTTCTACAAATGAGACAACTGCATAATAATGTTCATATCCATAATTTATAGTACCTGGTATCACCTCCTTCAGTATCAACTCTACATTTTAAAAATAATTCAAATGCTACTTAGGAACCATCCTTTATTTCAGTTACTTATTACAACCATCCATTTTGAATCTGATACTGCTGATCCAGCTGAGCCTATGCTTCAGGATTGTCAGCCTCAGGACCGAATAAGTCAGGATTCATTTGAGGCTGATCAGCCCCCGAGATCTCCCCTTCCAATGTAACAGTCTGATGACAAGACACAACCCCCAAGCTCCAAGTTTAGACATCTATAGAGGCAAGCAGAGCAATTCTTCTCAATGAGGCTCCTTATTAAACAAAGGTGAGGCATGAGTGATTGCAGCCAACTGTTAGCAGACAGATTTAGGTAGCTTCTTTCATTTCAGACTTTTGCTGGAAATAATCATTTGGCTATCTAACTCATGACTCTTGCTTTTGACCCTTTGGCTGACTACCTCATTTGACATTCTGTGACTCTTGAAACATATTTGGGTGATGTTTTTGCTTCTTGGACTGTAACAGCATTTTTTAGGCAAAGGCATTTTACTAGGCATCTGAGTTACATTCCTATTTGCTGTTATTTGTTTTAACGGTAATAAATACTTCAGCTTTGAAGTGTGTGCCAGCAACCTTGAAACAAAAACAATCCAAACTTTTCCCGATTTTAAGATTTTATGGTAATAAAAATAATAAAAAACACTAGCATCTGTTTGACCAGGGCTACTCTTATAGAGAAAAACAGGAATTAGACAAGAACAGAAATCTGTGGCCTTTAATATAATATTAAATTCCTATCCCATGGAGTATGGGCAATGGTCATGAACAATGGAGGTTCAATAACTTTCACAAATTCCTCACATTTGAATTTGAAGTTTGGCCAACTGTAATTAAGAAACGGTATATACTACCAGAAATTACAATATAAAACATCCAACAATTTACTTGAATGAAAATTGTTCCACTTTAATTGGATCACTAAATCTCCTTTATAACATTAGTCCTTTTTGTATCTCCATGTCAAGAAATACTCAGTTGCTTCTTTTTCCTTAATTGTAAGTGTTAATCTGTCCATTTCTGCACATTCTAATATTTTTTTTTAGTTACACTCTCATCTGTCGGGATCTCTTCGCTTTTCCATTGCTGTGCAAATACAATTCTGGCTGCAGTTAGTACATGTAAAATCAAATATATATTTCTTTTGTCATATGTATTATTATCATTGAATTAATATGTGATGAATATTACTGTAAACATTTTGATTTTGATTTCCTAAAAATAATTGTACCCAGATAACATACTGATTGAAATTGAATTTTTGCACTTTTATACAAATAAAACAAAAAATTGGAAATTTTTTAAATCAAATTCCTCTTTAGGCAACATTCTGATAGTACATATCTGATCTATAATCACTTACATGTATCAAATAATGATAAGCAATAAAATCTGAAATCTTATATAAATTCTATATCTGT